AAGGAGTCCGTGAAAAAGGCCTTTTTAGGGGTTAAGCAGATAACTTTATAAGGCTTTACCTAGCTACCGATCGACCTTAGCATCTCTTCGTAGTCTGTAAGAATAGCTTTATTAATAAAGAGGAGGTAAACTATAGGAACCTTAACCTCTATCTCTAAAAGGTGCTTTAGGCTTTTTTCTTAGACCTTTTATATAATAGCCTCCTAGTTAAATAAATTAAGGGTATCCTTCTAAGCCGAGGCTTATAAGGCAGGCCGGGTAGTAGTCGAGGTAGTAGTGGGTTTATATATAGGGGCTATCGAATTAGGGGTTAGACTATCGTCTATATCGGTGTCGTTAACTATCTCTATAACCCTTTAGGAGCTTTCCGGAGTTAATAGGGTCTATTAAACAGCCTGATTAGGGGAACTAGCTACTTTCGGCGTGGGTTTACTAACTCTACCGCTCCTAGTAGTACGAAAAGGGTCCTAGGGTTCGGTTAAGGTAGGTCGCGATATAGATATAGTATATACTCTAGTAGTAATAAAATTAATAGATCCCGTGACCTTAGTAACCCTTAAGGCTTAAGTGGCTTAGGTGGCCTAACTACTCTAACCGGTCTACTACTTCTATACCTACTTAACTATATACTTAATTATAAGCCTATTAGTCTTATTAGTCTTATAGGGGAGGGTAGTAGGCTATAAGGTCTTAATATAAAGGTCTATAAGCTCCTTAAATCGGCTATACAGCTTAGTGGCCAGCTAATATAGTATAAGACGTCGGTATAGCTAGTACTCGTTAACTCGTAGCTCGCTTTTAAGGTAGGCTGCCTAGGTACCGGTCTAATCTATAACTAAATACGCGGGGAACTCCTACTCAACTAGGTTATAGGCGCTATCGTGGATTAGGATAGGGTAGTTATCTCTCTGATACCCTTCTTAGCCGTAGTAGTAGTAGCGAGCTAGCGGGGGCTGGCTATTATTCTAGGTACCTCTCTACTATCCTGCGCGGTTATTATATTACTAGGTCGGGCGGCTATTATTACGCCGGTTATTATATCCAGGGTGAGGTCCTCCGTAATAAATCTCCTCGGTGTATTAGGCGTTATTAAGCTAGGAAACGGCACCATTAGCCTAATTAGGGGTGGCGAAGTGTACTAAAGTAGTTACCATAGGCTAAGAGGCGTGCTTAAGGACAGTATAAAAGGCATTCTTTAGATTAGACTTTATAGCGAGGAGGGCTTAGACCTTCTCCATGCCTATCCTCTTAGATAGGGTAAGTACTTAGACGGCAATACCCCTAACGCCTTTAGCTCTATTATAGATAAGGGAAATAGTATACTTCTTAAGGAGGTCGGCGAGCTTATCTATATCCGATTAAGAGGCTATAGACTCCTAGACTATAGTAGGCCGCCTTAAGATTATAGGCTAGAAAGCGGTGCTATTAGGCTAATTAGACTTAGCTATACCTAGTATAGCGTCCCTATCTATAGGCTTACCCTTTACTTTCTATATATCCGTAGACCACTCGCGTAGTAGGTCTAAAAGTAGCTTATAGCTCTTAACTATCTTTCTTAAGTCGGTGCCTCGAATCTTAAGCCTATTAGCAATAAATATATAGATATCCCTATACAGAATAGTAAAGACGATACCGTAGAGCTTAGAGTCTTCGATAAAAGTACCTTAAACCCGCTCGGCCTTAGCCTTCTAGATAGTGATTTACTATAGTAAGTCCTTAACCTAATAAACGCTATTAATCTTATATGTCTTATACTTTACCCGAAGCTAATAAATCTTATAAAAGAAGTTAAGTTAGTAGTTAGGATCTAGATAAGAGAACTCTTTAACGAGCTTCTTAACTAAATCAGACTAACCGCCCTTATCGGCTTAAACCTCTCTAACTAGGCGTTTAATAGCGGGACGAATAGCCGTATCCATGTATAGGTTAACGTAGGTGATCTTATCGGCTTTATTAAGGCGGTTAAGCTTAGTATAGTTATCGTACTGCTAAAGGAATATGGAGAGAGACTTACCACTAAAGCGGGGAGCTCTAGTAGCGAGGGGATTTAGGGGTGCTCTTAACGTAGTGGTAGTAGGGGGTAGGGCTTTAACGACCTCGGCGATAATACTCTCTCGGTCACGGCTTATTAGGGCTTATAGTAGCTTAATTAGGTCTTTAGCGGTAGTAAGGGGCTGCTAACGCTTAGGGGCGGTAGTAGTAGGAGCGTTCGAAGCGGGCTAGGCAGTAAAAATAGGGTAGGCAGGGGTAGTAGTCGATTTATAGGCAGGGGCAGATCTAAAGGCTAATTCGGGGGTAGTATTAGGGGTAGTTATCGAAATAGTAGTCGGAGCCGCGGTAGACGTAGTAGTTAGCCTAGAAGCGGGCGGAGGTAAGGCCGTAGCCCCGATATCGTGGTTCCCCTAATTAAGGGCAGTAGAAGTAGTAGGCGTGAGAATAAGGGGAATAGCCGGCGAGGGAGCCTTATCGTCGGAGTCGCTAACGACGATAATAGAGGTAGGCTCGCGATACTAATTCTAAGTATCTATAGTAGTTTAAGTGTAAGTATAAGGGGGTAGGCGAATAATAATAATAGGGTTAGGGCGTTTAGAGTAAGGTTCTTCGAACTAATCGTCTAGTAAGAAGATCCTATAAGTATTCCAGATACTAGCTAGGTTACTATATATATTATCTCGTCTTAATAAGAGTAATAAGGTCTTTAACGAGAGGGTAGTAATAGTCTTAGATTTTACTCCGTGATACTTATCTTTGGGGTCTAGCTTTTCTAACTTACCTTAAAGGAAAAGGCCCCCCACGATTAGGAGATTACCTATTAGTAAAGAGGCTATACTCACGGATATTAATATTAAAAGTATTACCCGCTAAGCCTCGTAAAAAAGCATCACACCTGCTTACGGGGTCTATAAAGGTCCTTACTAGACTATCGGGTCCTCTTATAAGGTATCGTTATTTCGCTCCCACGCTCGGTATTAGCTTTTTATTAGGTCTACTAGGGTTTAGTTACCCTAATCCGGGTAAGCTGCTCTCGGCGGTCTTATCTTTTCTTCGCCGTCGTGCGAGAATCTATTTTAATTAGTAGTAGGGGTTACGAGCCCCTTTTCGAGTCTATTCTATGTCCGGAATCTAACTCTATCGCGATCTAATCGGTTTCTTCCGTTCCTATAATTACCACCTCTATAGTGGCGGGTCTTATAATTAAAAGTGTTAATAGTTCTTTAACTCTTACCTAAGCAGTTATTTCTTTTCCTAATCTTATTAGGGCAAATCTCCCCTCGGTCTTAAAGCGTTAAATCCTTCCTTAGTCGTTATCTTTATATTCTTCCTAAGGTTATTAACTAATAGTCCGTTTAGGAGGGCCGGAACCTCTCTCAAGCGCCTTTATTACTCTAATCAGGGTTAGAACACTTTAGGGACGCCGAATAAATCCGCCTCTAAGCACTATATTATAACTAGATAAAGACGTAGTAGCACCAGATCATTAAGATAAAGATCAGATGAAGAGGTTAGTCCAGCGAAACCACGATATATAACTAACACCGCTATAACCTTCAGCGGAGAAGTAGGTCGGTAGTCACTATTCTAATCAGGGCGACGTAAGTTAAGCTAGAAAGATACCTTAAACGTGGAATAAGTAATTATGAAAGAGGATAATAATTATATATTAATCCCTCGATAAGGACGTCCCGAGCCTATCCTTAATATATATATAGGCAGCGGATCCAGCGGCCTTAAAAGGGGGGTCATATGACCGTCTGCCGAACCACTCCAACGCCGTATCTACGCGGTTACAGTAGTCGTGGTCGCGGTCGCCCGCGAGGAACACGGGGAATAGGATATACAAGAGGTCGTGGCTATACCTTAGGCGGAGAATTATATACTAAGCGCTTCCGATAGGATATCGGGTTAGTCTAGTACGGATAGAGCGATTAAGTGGCTATAATAAGAGCTATAGTAGCAGTAAACTAGTTAATTAATTAATATAAAAACACCGTTTTTACTATTTATAATCTTTACGATAAAAGAGATTAATTAAAGATTACGACTATAGGATTAATTTAGCGTTACCGGCTTAGTTACTAGTTATAGAAGGTGTTAACACCTGTACCATAGTCGGATTATCCGGTTAGCATAGTCGGAATATCCTGACCCTTTTTTTAACCTCTATGGAGCACGGGTAGATACATATACACTCCGAGAACGGACTTGCCAGATATTCCGGCGGGAACGCCGCGTGTCTGCTGAGACAGCCCTTTTGTCTCACATTCCAGAGAAGGCTTTGTAGATGACTTGGTCGTACCTCATCACTCACTGGGCTGCCCCTTGAAGGCGTTGTGAGGGGAGAACCCGGATCCCGTCAGGTGGAGACTTCAGCCCAATGCCGGGAAGCAATTACACACTGGTATACTGTATGGCGCTATCTCCATAAGGTAGGTACTGTGTATACTTACCCCATACATCGGAGCTCTTATTGCTGTCGCTGTTCCACTGGTACGATTATTTGGTATAATCCTGACAACTTCCTTCCTCTGCTATGCACAGTCTATCCACACTGTGCCTTGTATATCCCAGAGAAATCCGCAGACAGCTCCGAAGAAAGAGCTCATGGTAGCTGGGCATTTGCACTACGGAGTATTTGGCACAGGAGCATGGTGTAGGAGAATGAAGCCCCGCCCGCCCTAATTAGGTAAGGTAAGGTAGGTACCTTATCTTCCAGCTACAACGTATGTACCTTTGAGTATCTCAAACCTCTAGCAATACATACAACATCGTCCCGCGCACGGGCCAACAAATCTCAATACCAAGTCCACCTCCAACCTCCCCATCTCGGCGTGGATATCTATAGCAAACACACGCATAATCAGTTATATTTCATCTCCAGCCAACAGATAAGAACAGAAGAAAAAAGGAAAGGGAAATTATCTCGGATTCGTCGTCGGCCATTCGAGGAAACAGGGCAGATAAATTATTTGGGTTAAAACATGGAGATCTGCGCGATCTCCTATCCCCAAACATATGGGAAATTTTACGGATATTAATCACTACCCAGCGGTCAAAGGAGACGTTACAACCCCCCCTTGGACATTATCCTCGACCGACCATGCTCCTCGGCAGTGCTCTTCGCTTCTGGGCTCTCGTCCACGATACAGGCGTCCCACCTCCGTGCCTTACTCCTTCTGTCTCCTCTCGACATGCAGAGGGGAAGCCCAAGCCCCCGACGTCACAGCGACCGGTCGAGCCTTTTTTGACACCCCCGCAAAATGGACACATGCACAACATGTGCACTTGACTCCCTTCAGGCAGTTCAAGCCTTCTTCGTCTCCGAACTATCTCACTCATCTTCTCGAGTGTGCAGATATGCTACTGATGGACCGTAAATATGTTAGGGTAACCAGCTGCTTGTCCTCGTTTCCCTGCCCCTCGCGTCTTAGTCGGCGACAACGACGGAGCAAGCCTTATCCTTATCGCTTTTCCTTTGTTTCCTACCTACCTGCATCTACCGAGTAGTTTCCTTACGATGCCGACAAATGCAGGATATGCTCCCAAGTTTTATGACGGTATACCAGCATGATAGAAAAACAGTTTCCCACCAAGAGCTGCCCCTGGTTATCGTGGTCCCAATGTGATGCATACGCGAAGTGCGAAGTACTTAATTCGTCGACGGACGTGACAGTAACACAATACAATACAGCAAGGAATACCCCGCGCAGTGGGAGGAGGAGGAGATAATTATCACACGGCCGGTTCAAGGGTCTCATGCCTAAGACAATTAAATATATTAATTACTTCGATCATGGAGTAGGGCTTACAAATTGACCAGCACTCAGAGGGCCCCCATGCAACGTGACGTGACAGCTACGGTTCTTGGATGGAACTCTACCCCACGGCACCCGCATCTTGCCATTCCCATGCGTCCCTTGAATGCGGACAATATCGTGGCAATCTGAGGCTGATTGATTTTCGTCGATACCACCGTTAGGGGGCCTTCTTAAGTCTAGTAGGAACGACTCCTACGTAGTTCGGTGTGTTCTGTCGTCTATAGCTCACTGGACCTTCTCGCCTGAAGCTGGAGGATCTTGAGCATTCTGGCCCCCAGCCCATCCCAGCGGGTTCTTCTCACTCGGTACCTATTCTCTGCCATATACACGTCTCCCATACAACGATATGCCATCGACCCCCTTAATAACCCCTTCTCACCCGCCCAATGGACTTTAACTACGAGGGCAAAACGGGTCCGATAATCCCCCCCGACGCCGGGACACCAAGGGAGACTTCTTACGCATTTGATTGGAGACGTTTCTTCGCCAAGAAGAAAGCAGAAGAATAAAAAGGCCCAGTTCTTCCGAGTCCCATAGAAAAAGCTCGGTAGCATGAGTCGGATGAAAGCGAGCACCCCGTTCATCGGGGAGACGGACGATCCAACACATTCGGCGACCTGGCTTCCTTGTCGACAGAGGATGCCAAATTTTCGGTGGAGCAGACCCCTATTCTCCCATCCCTTCAAACCATGTGAAGTTGATTCGCCTCATAGTCTCATCTCCCTCATTGTCTGTCCCCGCTGCCATCTTCGTGACTTTG